AGTAGCATGTGGTGGAGTAGCATGTGGTGGAGTAGCATGTGGGTGGAGTAGCATGTGGTGGAGTAGCATGTGGGTGGAGTAGCATGTGGTGGAGTCCCATGCAGCAGAGCAGCTCACAGCAGCCCCTGCTATGCTCATTATGCTGCGGCTCTTCGATGCGCCACACTTTGCTTAATTACCCACCTTCTCAGCACTGTCTTCTTGGCAAAGCACGAATGGTGATCACAAAGACCCGTCCAGCTGGTCCTTTGCTGGCCCCTATTTCTCCCGAACCCTTATTCACTTGCAGGGGAGTCTGTGAGGAACTGGAGCTCCCTGCTTTACAAAAACATGGTGCAAGGTGCTCTTCAAGATCAAACGTTCTTCTTTTCAAAGGCCCGCATCACGTGTGCCCGCCTCATAGACGCAGGGAGATGAAACGACGGCGATCACTTGGTCACTCGGGTGGACGAGGCCCCAGGGCCGACTCCGGGGCGTCTGTGAACAAGCCCGCCTGGGCGCTGCTGAGACTACACTGACTTATTCACGGCTTATTCGGGGCTGCGAAAACGAGGACAGATGTCAGTTGCTTTGTTATTTCTGCACGATCCCAATTTGCAGAGACGGCAAGCGCCAGCCGGGAGAGGGGTCTCACATTTAAAATGGAGCAAAAGCAGTTAAAAGTATGCGGGGAGACAGCAAGCTGCTGTGTAGCCGGGGGTGTTTGAGCTCGCAGACCGGAGACTGTGGGGGGTCCGTCCACGGGGGGTGGGGGGCGGGGGCACATGGCATCCCCGCATCCGTGGCCAGACGGTCAGACCTGGCCGGCGGGCAGCGGCAGACCCGTGTGGTTCAGCCTGCCCGAGAATCTCCGTAGCCTGTGGTGGACACTCTGTCCGTCCTCCCAACGAGCAGGAGAAGTCGAAGACGGAATGACTCGATGACCTCCAGGCATGGCCAAGGCACACAGATGGCACAAAAATGTGGCATCACGGGAAGGTGAGCGCCAGAGAGAGGGAGACAAGGACTCACGCTGGGCCCCCCAAAGCCGCGCTGTCCCCTGAGCCCGCTCCAGGCACGGACAGTGGGGACCCCTGAGGGCGCTTCCATCAGCCCAACTTATGAGGGTTTCTCAGTGCCCGCAGGGGGGCCAGGCTGGGCACGGCACGTGGCATCCAAACGGCGCAGACCAGGACGCGCATGCATGCGACTCACTACTCCTGCGTGCCGTCTGGGCAGGCTGCGGGGAGACACCAGGGGGGCAGCGGGACGGAGCCCGTTAGCATCAGCCACAGCACTGGGCGCTCAGGCGGGCAGGACAGAGCCGGCGCGACCTCTGCCGCCCACTCTCCAGCCGCTCTGGGGCTCCCCGCACCACGAGGTAGGGGCCCTACCCTCCCTCTGC